AAAGAGTAGATAGAATTAGAAAACCACTCTTTTGCAGATTCCAGTATAATCATTGATTTAGGCAAGGGCAATCAATAGATGCTGAACTCTTTGGATGAAAGTTATTGGTGATGATACTATGCTGAAGTATTTAGGAATGTAGTGATATTTTGTCTGCAGCTAACTCTCATCAAAATGTTCATTTTTAAAAAGCATTGGGGTGTGTGTGTGTTTGGAGACAGAGAAAGCAAATGTGGAAAGAAGGTAAGAGTTAGTGAACCTAGGAGGTGAATGGCTCTGTGTGTGTACATTGGACTATTTTTTTCAGCTTTTTGTGTGTGTGTGCACTTTTTTTTTTTGGAGACGGAGTTTCGCTCTTGTTACCCAGGCTGGAGTGCAATGGCTCGATCTCGGCTCACTGCAACTTCCGCCTCCTGGGTTCAAGCATTCTCCTGCCTCAGCCTCCTGAGTAGCTGGGATTACAGGCACACGCCACCATGCCCAGCTAATTTTTTGTAGTTTTAGTAGAGACGGGGTTTCACCATGTTGACTAGGATGGTCTCGATCTCTTGACCTCGTGATCCACCCGCCTCGGCCTCCCAAAGTGCTGGGATTACAAGCGTGAGCCACCGCGCCCGGCCGTGTGCACTTTTAAATGTTGAAAATGAATGAGCTGCCAGGCACGGTGGCTCACATCTGTAACCCAGTACTTTGGGAGGCCAGGTGGGTGGATCATGAGGTCAGGAGTTTGAGACCAGCCTGACCAACATGCTGAAACCCCGTCTTTACTAAAAATACAAAAATTAGCTGGGCATGGTGGTACATGCTTGTAATCCCAGCTACTCAGGAGGCTGAGGCAAGAGAATTGCTTGACCCTGGGAGGCAGAGGTTGCAGTGACCCGAGATCATGCCACTCTACTCCAGCCTGGGCAACAGAGCAAAACTCTGTCTCAAAAAAGAAAAAAAAAAAAAAACAGAAAAGAAAATTAATGAGCTCTGATGCCATCTTCAAAGGAAAATATAAATAAAATAACTGTTGAAAATTATAAGTTGGGGGGAAATGCTAATTTCTGTTTTAAATCCAAATCCAACTTACTAATATTTTTTGCTGTTTGATGTAATTGTGCTATTTGGAGCTCTCTGATAGATCCAAATTCTCCCTCATACGGTATTAGTCATACCAGTCGTGGTGACATTGATTTTTTTTTTTTTTTTTTTTTTTTTTAGATGGGGTCTCACTATCTTGCCCAGGCTGGAGTGCAGTGGCTATTCACAGGTGTGATCCCACTACTGAGATCAGCATGGGAGTTTTGACCTAGGCACTGGTAATTTTTATATGACGTCTTTTTTTTTTTTTTTTTGAGATGGAGTTTTTGCTATTGTTGCCCAGGCTGGAGTGCAGTGGTGCAATCTCAGCCATTGCACTCCTACCTCAGCCTCCCGAGTTTCTCAGTGTACAGGCATGCACCACCATGCCTGACTAATTTTGTATTTTTAGTCGAGATGGGGTTTCTCCATGTTGGTCAGGCTGGTGTCTAACTCCCAACCTCAGGTGATCTGTCCACCTCTGCCTGCCTACCAAAGTGCTGGTTTTACGGGTGTGAGCCACCGTGCCCAGCCATCTTTTTTTTTTTTTTTTTTAATTGAGACAGAATCTCACTGTGTTGCTCAGGTTGGAGTGCAGTGGCATGACCTTGGCTTAATGCAACCTCTGCATCCAGCAATTCTCCTGCCTCAGCCTCCCAAGTAGCTGGGATTACAGGCATGCACCACAACGCCCGGCTAATTTTTGTATTTTTAGTAGAGACGGGGTTTCACCATGTTGGCCAGACTGGTCTCAAACTAGCCACTGCACCCAGCCTATTACATCTATTGAGTATGTACTCTGATATACCAGGCATTGTGCAGAACACATGCCATACATTAGTTAATCCTCCTAACAGTTCTTGAGTTAGTATTCATTTCTCCTTTTAAGGATGAAAAGACAGATGCTTAAGAAGATACCACTAAAGCAACAGAAAAAACATTTCATCTTAAGAATGAAAATGAATTTGTTAGGCTAGAAAGAATATTCATTGATGAAAAAGCACTATTATAATGTTAATAGTCATGCATGTTTTTCTGGCCTTGAACTTGCCCTCCATACAGCCCACCCTGGAGAGGCAATCTAGCATGGTGGTTTAGAGCATGGTCCCTGAAGCCTGAAGCCAGAAGCCAGAATGCCGAGGTTCAAATCCCAGTTCTACCATCACAAGCTGCTACTGCCTTAGAAGCACTTCTCTGCAATTCTATATTGGGAACCTCTGTTGTATTCATTTCCTATTGCTGCTATAACAAATTACTACAACCTTAGTTGTTTGAAATAACACAAGTTTATTATCTTACAGTTCCGGAGGTGTGAAGTCCAAAATAGATGTCACTGGGCTAAAATTAAGATGTCAACAGGGCTGCATTTCCATTTGGAGGCTTAGAGGAAAATGTTTTCTTGCTTTTTAGTTTCTAGAGGCCATCCTGGTTCCTTAGTTTGTGGCTTCTGTCTTCAAAACCAGCAACATTGTATCTCTCCGTGCCTTTCTTCTATAGGAACCTCTTCTCTGACTCTTCTGCCTCCCTCTTTCACTTTTAAAGACCCTTGTTATTATCTTGGTCCAGGGTGATAACAGATAATCTAGGATAATCTCCCTATTTTAAGGTTAGTCTTAAATTAGGCTGATTAGCAACCCTAATTCCATGTACAACCTCAGTTTTCCTCTGTAACCTAACATAGTCACAGATTCCAGGGATTAAGGCATGAATATTTTTAGGAAACCATTTTTTTTTTTAATTTTGCACTACATATCTATGTTTAAATTCTAAAGTTGTGTAAGGCAGCTGGGGCCAGGAGAAGATTATTCCAAAGTGGAGATCCTTATCAGTGCTGAGGATGACTTGTGTAGAACCAATAATTGGGTTTGAGCTAAAAGGAACTACTGGGTGGTATATGTACATGTTTTTAATTCTCTTACTGGCATAAAATATATATAGTAAATTCAGCATTTTTTTTTTTTTCTTTTTTGAGACAGGGTCTCACTTTATTCCCCAGGCTGGAGTACAGCAGCATGATCATGGATCACTGTAGTCTCAACTTCCTGGTCTCAAGCAATCCTCCTACCTCTGCCATCTGAGCGGCTAGGACTACAGACATAGGCCACCATGCCCAGTTAATTTATTTTTTTCTAGAGATGGGAATCTCTCATGTTGCTCAGGCTGATCTCTTAACTCCTGGCCTCATAGAATCCTCCTACGTCAGCCTCCCAAAGTGTTGAGATTACAGATGTGAGCCATTACTCCTGGCAGTAAATTCAGTATTAAAGAGTGATTGAATTAGAAGGCAACTGAGTTTTGATTACATCATAGTAAGGAAATGATTAGAGTATTAGAATACATTTCTATTGTTTGATTCATGCAGGCCCTCAGGAAGATGTTCCTGATTTAATAGTAATTTTAGGGAAGCTTCAAGTTAAATTTTTTTTGTATATCTCCATTATTAAGCATTAATTTTTAAATTACTATTTTTTTTTTTTTTTACAGAGTTTTACTACCCTTGGATGCTACTATTGATATGGAAAAGATTGAGGAACAGTTTGCTAATCTACACATTGTTAAATGTTCCTCAGGAACCGAAGAGCCCACTTACCTTCTTGGTATAGACACATCGAAGACTGTGCAAGCAGGAAAGGAAAACCTGGTTGCTGTTTTATGTTCTAATGCATCAATCCGAATATATGATAAAGAAAGGTTAAATGTACTGCGAGAATTTAGTGGACATCCTGGACTTCTTAATGGAGTCAAATTTGCAAATTCCTGTGACAATATATATTCAGCATGTACTGATGGCACTGTAAAATGCTGGGATGCTCGAGTAGCCAGAGAAAAACCTGTTCAGCTCTTCAAGGGTTACCCTTCCAATATTTTTATCAGTTTCGATGTTAATTGTAATGATCATATTATTTGTGCTGGTACAGAAAAAGTTGATGATGATGCATTGTTGGTGTTTTGGGATGTAAGGATGAATTCTCAGGATTTATCTACAACTAAAGACCCACTTGGTGCATATTCAGAGACACATAGTGATGATGTCACTCAAGTACGTTTCCATCCCTGCAATTCCAGCATGGTAGTCTCAGGTTCATCTGATGGCCTGGTAAATGTATTTGATATTAATGTTGATAATGAAGAGGATGCACTGGTTACAACCTGTAACTCAGTTTCATCAGTAAGCTGTATTGGTTGGTCTGGGAAAGGTTATAAACAGATTTACTGCATGACACATGATGAAGGATTTTATTGGTGGGATCTTAATCATCTGGATACTGATGAACCATTTACACGTTTGAACATTCAGGATGTGAGAGAAGTAGTTAACATGAAAGAAGATACTTTGGACTATTTGATTGGTGGCCTGTATCATGAAAAGACAGATACATTGCATGTTATTGGAGGAACAAACAAAGGAAGGATTCACTTGATGAACTGTACCACGTCAGGACTGACCCATGTGACTAGCCTTCAGGGAGGGCATGCTGCTACAGTCCGTTCTTTGTGTTGGAATGTGCAAGATGATTCTTTGTTGACTGGAGGAGAAGATGCACAGTTGTTACTTTGGAAACCTGGAGCTGTAGAGAAGACCTTTAGAAAGAAAGAAAGCATGAAAATAGCATCCTCAGTGCACCAACGAGTGCGAGTTCATAGTAATGATTCTTATAAAAGAAGGAAAAAGCAGTGATAATCCATTGGCACTTGGTTTGGTAGGTTTTATGGTTTCAAGTAATCATTTTTTTTACTATCCATGGTAGATGTGTTTAAAGCTTTATGTAAAAACAAGCCAGTTAGCAAACAATCCTGGAAAAATATGGTGAGAATGGTTTAATTCAGGTCTTAACATATTCTAGAAAATTTTAAAGCCTCTAAGTATAAAATCAGTGAGTTGAAAGTAAAATTTCTCATTTAAAAAACTCATCTGTTAAGGTAGTAAATGTTGGGTTTAAAGAAATAGCTCTGAGAAGGACTTTTTAGAAGGTGATACCTGTTAAAATGTAATAAAACGGGTGGTTGGCTGCATTTTTTAAGCCCAGTTTTTTACATTTTAAATTGTCTTTATTGTGTATAAAGCCAGATCAGACTATATTCTTCATTTGAGGAGCATCTATATGTTTAATATACCTAATATATTACATTGGAGTATTTAAATGTAAGTATTTTAATGAGTAAATATAATTAAATGTTTTTAGAAATAAAATGATAGGCATCTAAAATGAGAAAAATGTTTAGTAAATATTTGCATCTTTAATATTAGTAAGTAGTAATCAGGTGTTTTGCTGACTGAAAGGATATTATCTTGCTAAATTGAGACTCAAAGTGAAATACAAAAATGAAAATATTTATAATAGGACTTGACTGGGAGAAATTCCTATTCTTCCTGTTTTCTAAACCACAAATCTGAGTATAACTTAGACTTCTCTCTTCCCTCTTCTCCTAACCAGTTTTTCACCACGTCCTGTGCCCCTTCACCTCCTAACATCTGTCAGCTATCCTTTTGCCTTTACCTCACCGCTTTGACCTTAGAGAAGACGTTCATCATTTCTCATCTGGACTACAAACTCGATCTCTAGTCTGCTTCAATTCATCCTTCTTGCTCCTTCTAGGCTAAACATCAAAAACAGATCTGGTTGGGGCGGGGAAGTGAGGGGGGAAGAAACAAAAGCATCGGATGATGCTTCATGCTGCTTAAAATCTTCAGCACATTGATATTTTGATGGAGTATTACATAAACATTTAAAAACATGAAAATGGACTTTTTTCAGTATTTTTTAAATATAAAACAGTGCTATGTAGTAAATGGAGAAACTAGTTTGAAAGATTTCTGGAGAAATCACATTCATAAAACAATTGGAAGTGAAACAATATCAAAGCAATAGGGCTTTTTAAAATTAAAAATATTTAAAATTCAAAAGTAATTAATAGTGTTGGAAGATTTGAGTGAGAAAATGTTCCTGAAAGTAGAACGGAAAGAGACAAAGTGAGAGAAAAGATGAAAGCCACAGAAGATAAACATAGGGGTCTAAAACCAGACTAACAGTTTAAGAAAGTGAAAAAAGTTAAAAGAATAAAGAAATGAAATGGGGCAATGGGTTATTGGAAATAACATAAATGGCTGATATGGTTTGTCTGTGTCCCCACCCAAATCTCATCTTGAATTGTAATCCCCATAATCCCCACATGTCTAGGAAGAGACCTGGCGGGAGGTGATTGGAACATGGGGGTGGTTTCCCCTGTGCTGTTCTCATGATAGTGGGCGAGTTCTCACAAGATCTGATGGTTTTATAAATGGCTCTGCCCCCTTCACTCTTCACTCTTTTTCCTGAAACCTTGTGAAGAAGGTGCTTTGCTTCCCCACTTTGCCTCCCGCCGTGATTGTAAGTTTCCTGAGGCCTCCCCAGTCATGCTGAACTCCGAGTCAATTAAACCTCTTTCCTTTATAAAGTACCCAGTCTTGGGCAGTTCTATGTAGCGTGTGAAAACGGACTAATACAGTAGCTATTCCAGAACTTCACACTTTAGATAGAAAGGGACAACAGAGTGTGAAGTGTAATGAATGAAAAAGATGCACATCAAGGCATAGCACTGTGAAGTTTCAGAACTTCCAGAGTAATTGGAAAATCCTGCAAGTGTCTGGGGAAAAAAACCACTTAGGAACCAATTTACATTTGTGTTAGACTTCTATTAGCAAATCTGGATGACAAAAGATGGTGGATCAATGACTTCAGAGTTCTGAGGACAGATTCCTATTTGAATTTATACTCTCCAAACTCACTTAGCAAATGGATGGTAAGTTTTTTGAGACATCTGTTGTCAAATGACCATTATCTAGTTACTCTCTGAACCTCAGGAACCAAATTGATATAGCTAACAAATTATCCATTTGTAACCAAACTCTCATTGGCTAAACCCAGGAAATAATAATTCTGTGACCAGGCCGGCTGTCTCCACATGTGAATTAAAAACATTGCAGGCATACAAGATTTCAAACTTTACTCCCCATGCCATTTTTTTTCAAAGGCTGCCGAAGGATATACTCCACAGAAATTAAGAGAGTAAATCAAGGAAGAGCAGAGATGGCAAAAATCAGTGAACCAAGATAACAGCTTTGCAGCACAACTATAGAGTATTTCGTCCAGACTGGAGCAGGACAGAGGATATCAGGAGGGAGATGTCCAGGGAGAAAAATGAACTTATAAGTTACCCAGTGCATTTGACCATGAGGAGAATAGTGTAAATAGTAGAAGTGGATTTAACTCACCACTTAATAGACCCTCAAAAAGATATATCAGGCTGGTGCAAAAGTAATTTCACCAACCCATAGAATACTAACCCATAGAATGAGAGAAAGTGTTGGCCAATCATATATTAAATAAGGAACTTGTATGCAGAATATATGAATAAATCTTAAAAATATTGAAGCTGGGCGTGGTGGCTCACACCTGTGATCCCAACACTTTGGGAGGCTGAGGCGGGCAGATTACGAGGTCAAGAGATCAAGACCATCCTGGCCAACATGGTGAAACCCTGTCTTAAAAAAAAAATTGAAAGGACAACCCAATTTTTAAATTGATCAAAGGATCTGAATAGACATTTCTCCAAAGAATATATACAAATGACCAGTATGCACATGCAGAGACATGCAGAGATACTCAGTATCTCTGACAAGTATACTCAGTATCTCTGCATGTGCATACTGGTCATTTGTATATCATATATCAGTAGAGAAATGCAAACCAAACACTGCACCCATTAAGATGGCTGTAATATTAATAAAAATAGTGTCTTCTGAGGATTTGAAATTAGAACCTTTGTACATTGCTGGTGGGAATGTAAAATGATTTGTAAAACAGTCTAGAAGTTCCTCAGGCAATTGTACAGTTGCCATTTGAACTGGCAATTCCACTCCTAGGTATATGTCCAGAAGAAAACATGTCCACACAAAACTTGTACATGAATGTTTCAGAGTAACATTCATCCTAGCTAAAAGGTGGAAACAATCCAAGTGTCCCTCAGTAGATGAATGGATAAACAATGTGGTGTATCCATTCAGTGGAGTATTACTCAGCCATAAAAAGGAATGGATTTTTTTTTTTTTTTTTTTTTTTTTTGAGACAATCTCACTGTCGCTCAGGCTGGAGTGGTGTGATCTCAGCTCACTGCAACCTCTGCCTCCCAGGTTCAAGCAATTCTACCTCAGGCTTCCAAGTAGCTGGTATTACAGGCACGCACCACCACACCTGGCAAGTTTTTGTATTTTTATTAGAGACAGGATCTCACCATCTTGTCCAAGCTGGTCTCAAACTCCTAAGCACAAGTGATCCACCCGCCTTGGCCTCCCAAAGTACTGGGATTACAGGCATGAGTCACTAACCCCGGCCCCCAAATACTGATATTAATACGTGCTACAACTTGGATGAATCCTGAAAACATGCTAAGTAAAAATAGCCACAAAAAACCATATATTGAACGATTCCATTTATACAAAATGGCCAGATTAGTGAAATCTATAGAGAAAGAACATGTATCAGAGGTTACCTTGGCCTGGGAGGAGAAGGAAGGATGGGATGATTGGTGGGTGACAGCTAAAGAGTTTGAGATTTCTTTGGGGGGAGGTTCTAAAAGTGACTGTGATGATAGTTACACAACTATGAATATACTAGCAATTACTGAATTGTACACTTCAAATAAATGAATTGTGTAGTATGTGATTTCTATCTCAGTAAAAGCTGTTGCCAAAAACCAAAAAAGATACCAAATAGGAAACAAAAGCCAGGGCAGCTATCTTTTTTTTTTTTTTTGAGACAGAGTCTTGCTCTGTCGCCCAAGCTAGAATATAGTGGCGTGGTCTCGACTCACTGCAACTTCGGCTTCCCAGGTTCAAGCAGTTCCCTGCTTCAGCCCCTCCAGGTAGCTGGGATTACAGACGCCCGCCACCACACCCAGCTAATTTTTGTATTTTTCATAGAGATGGGGTTTCACCATCGTGGCCAGGCTGGTCTTGAACTCCTGACCTCGTGATCCACACACCTCGGCCCCAAAGTGCTGAGATGACAGGCATGAGCCACTGTGCTTGGCCCAGGGCAGCTATCTTAATAACTTATAAGGCTGATGTAATGTTGATCCCCAAACCAGATAAAAATGAAAATAGTTCCATTTTGCTTATCAATATGTATTCACAGTTAAAAATATTCAGTGACCAGGCTGGGCGTGGTGGCCCTTGCTGGTAATCCCAGCACTTTGGAAGGCTGAGGTGAACGGATCACGAGGTCAGGAGTTCGAGACCAGCCTGACCAACACGGTGAAACCGCATCTCTACTGAAAATACAAAAATCAGCTGGGCATGGTGGCAGCTGCCTGTAATCCCGGCTACTCAGGAGACTGAGGCAGGAGGATCACTTGAACCTGGGAGGGTGAGGTTGCAGTGAGCTGAGGTCACAAGACTCAGTCTAAAAAAAAAAAATTCAGTGACCAAAAAAAACGTGACCAAGTAGATTTTGCCTGAGGAATACCAGCATGACTCAAAATAGGAAAATCTGTGATAATATTGAACAAAGAGAAAAAAATCAAAATTACCTTAATTGATACAGAGAAACATGGGGAAGTTTCACAACTGTTTGTGAAAATAAACATCAAGTTAGCAATAGAATACATGTGTGTGCGTAAGAGACAGGGTTTCGCTCTGTTGCCCAGGAGTTCGGTGATGTGATCTCACCTCACTGCAACCTCTACCTCGTGGGTTCAAGCAATTTTCCTGCCTCAGCCTCCTGAGTATCTGGGATTACAGGTGTGCGCCACCACACCTGGCCAAGTTAGCAATACAGTACTTTAACCTGGTGAAACGTTATGTAATAAAAATCTATAGTAGGGACCAGGTGTGCTGGCTCACACCTGTAATCCCAGCACTTGAGAGGGCCAAGGCAGGCAGACTGCTTCAGCCCAGGAGTTTGAGACCAGCCTAGGCAACATAGCAAAATCCTGTCTCTACAAAAATTAAAAATAGATATACAAAAATTTAGCTAGGCATGTTGGCGTGTTCCTGTAGTCCCAGTTACTTGGGAGGCTCAGGTGGGAGGCGCCAGTGAGCCATGATTTCACTGCTGCACTCCAACCAGGATGACAGAATGAGACTGTCTCAAAACAAAAACCCAAACCTACAGTAACCATTATACTTAGTGAAGAAATGTTTAGATTAAAAGCATTCCTTTTGAGTCCACGACTCACTGAGGAGGCTTGTCATCATAGTATGGATCCTGGTTAATACTGTAAGAAATACAATTACAGTGTCAAAGGATTGGAAGAGAAGAGAAAACAAAACCTCTCCTTTGCCATTGATATCTACCTAAAAAATTCAACAATCGGCCGGGCACGGTGGCTCACACCTGTAATCCTAGCACTTTGGGAGGCCAAGGTGGGTGTATCACCTGAGGTCAGGAGTTCGAGACCAGCCTGGCCATCATGGTGAAACCCCATCTTAAAAAAAAAATTTTTTTTTAAATAAAAAAAATTCAACAATCAACAATTCTAATTCCTAAGAGATTAGGCAAGGTCGCCAGTATAAATAAGATCAGCCAATGAAAATCCAAGGCATGTAATTTCACAATAGGTACGAAAATGTAAAACGTCAAGGAATTAACCAAGGATACACTAGGCCTATTTGAAGAAAGCTTTAAAACTCTAATGAAGACAAAATGATCTAAGGAACATCCTGTGCTTCCAATGAGATGACAATATTATAAAAGTGAACATTC